GGTATGGCATGTAACCCAGCAGTGAGGACAGGACTACCAGGCCAAGATGCAAACAGAAGCAGAATTCAGCCAGGAAAAGATCAGGCTTTGGTTGGCCAAAGTGCTTATATAAGAGACCAGTTTCTGCATCATGATGGCAACTGACTACCTTACTCTTTTTTTTAAGAGTTACAAAGAGAAGGAGAGGCAGAGAGAGAGATAGAGAGAGAGAGTGGAGAGAGAGAGGGAGGGAAGGAAGGAGGGAGGGAGAGGGGTTTTCCATGTGCTGGCCCATTCCCTGAATGGCTGCAACAGCTGGAGATGGGCCAATCTGAAGCCAGGAGCCAGGAGATTCCTCCGGGTCTCCCATGCAGGTGCAGGGGCCCAAAGGCTTGGGCCATCCTGCACTGCCCTCCCAGGACACAGCAGAGAGCTGGATCAAAAGTGGAGCAGCCAGGACTCAAACCAGCACCCGTAAGGGATGCCAGCATTGCAGGCAGTGGCTCCACCCACTATACCACAGCGCTAGCCTTTGACTGCCTTACTCTTTGCTTGTGAGCTATAAGGTTTATTTTTCCAATGAGCTTCCATCTTCTATCTTCAGTCTGTTGAAGGTAAAGTGTGTTTCTGAAGATCACACCATATTCTCCCATGGTTCTTATTCCTCCTGCTCTAAACAACCCATGAACTAGGTCTGAGGACAGCAAACAGTGATCCAGAGACCAGATCCAGCCTGACATCTGTTTGTGCAAACAAAATCTTTTTTTTTTTTTTGATAGGCAGAGTGGACAGTGAGAGAGAGAGACAGAGAGAGAAAGGTCTTCCTTTGCCGTTGGTTCACCCTCCAATGGCCGCCGCTGCAGCCGGCGCACCGCGCTGATCCGATGGCAGGAGCCAGGATCCAGGTGCTTTTCCTGGTCTCCCATGGGGTGCAGGGCCCAAGCACCTGGGCCATCCTCCACTGCACTCCCTGGCCATAGCAGAGAGCTGGCCTGGAAGAGGGGCAACCGGGACAGAATCTGGTGCCCCGACCGGGACTAGAACCCGGTGTGCCGGCGCCGCAAGGTGGAGGATTAGCCTATTGAGCCACGGCGCCGGCTCGCAAACAAAATCTTTTTAGCAACAGTCATACCCTTATTACCGATGGCTGTTCTCACCCTACAAAGGCAAAGTTAAGTAGTCATGACAGAAACTATATGGGCTACAGTGCAGACTATTTACTGCCTGTCTCTTACAGAAACAATTGGCCAGCCTTTGAGCTAGACTATAGTAGCCGTATTCTCAGCTGTCCCCACTCCTGGTCCTTGGAACTCAGGAAGCTGTGGTCCTTTAAGGGAAATTCATACCATCCCAGGAAGGAATGAGTGAGGATAAGGGAGTGCAGGGACCAGAACTGGAGGGGAAGACAGTGGCAGAAGGGCCTGGTAGGACAGATCCCCTGGTGGAGGGGGGACAACCCCTCTGCCCATTGATTTAGCTTCAATAAAGGAGGAAGTCATGAGGACACTGCTGTGTGTCCAGAGGTTGAAATTATTTTTCATAGCAGGATTGTTTCAATCTGCCTGTGGAAAAGTGTGCAGTCTTTTACTTTGCCAGATTCAAGGGGCCATATGTAGAATTTCTTTGCTAAAGCACTATCACATAAAGCAAAGCCGACACCTCGGGCTTTTCAGCTGGGAACAAACAGACAATTCAAATCGGAGCCGACAGCCCTCCATGGGACTGGAACAACCTGAAGTGCAGAATGTGATCTACCTCCCACACAGCCTCTGGACCCCTGTCTCTGGCAACCTAATGATTAATGTGTCAACCAGGAAGAGGATTCACTGACTGCCTCCAAGTCCCGTGAGCACAGTGCAGTCAATAAATATTTATTGAATGTGTTTTCCTAGGGCTGCAGCACTTGCTCAGTGTTATAACCAAATGAGCAAGAATTATTCAGGGTGGTTCCAAATAAATATATAAATCTATGTTAATGGAATTCAATCTAGTAACTGTGAATAGGGGAGAATATATCCATCCATCAGCACACATTACCCCAATAGTACCAGCTTTGGGGTGAATAAGAAAGAAGCCTATTATAGAAGCCGTGGAAGTGAAGAGAGACAGAAGAAAGGAAGGGAGACTTAGAACTGGTGCCTTTTGAACACATGAAAATGCATGTATTTTTTAAAGACAATCTTTTTTACTCTATCTGGCTTTATGTGGATAATACTTTCATCTGTCACCAAAATGGCTCCTACACTCAAGAAATAGCGAAGTTAACTGAACTGGGCTCCCAAATTGCAATTTTTACAATAAAGATAAAATATGGCTCTCTGCCACCCCTTTGGAGATACGGTGCCAATTTGCCGGTGCCATTCCCCTTAAGCCCAGTCACATTAGAATCTGAATATTGCATCACCAATTTGGACATGGGATGGGTATTAGGATTCACTTATTTAAGACTGAATACTTATCCTGGGTTAGAAATAAATTAAAATCTCGCATTGAGATAACATTAAAAGTGAGCAATGTAATTACCACCACCACCACCACCACCACCACCACCACCACCACCGCCACCCCACACACACATCCTCCTGCACTCCCACAAAGCCTGAGAATGCTCGGCATCAGTGAGGACAGGAGTCTGCAGAGCGGGAGGTGAGATAAGGCCTTTTGCCTGCTGCGTGTCGGGTTTTGTAGGGGAAAAATCCTTGCTGTTGAGAAAGGATCCAATAAGCAATTTTAATATAAGCACTCAAAGAGGTTCTGGCCACTCCGAGCCGGGTCCAGGCCTTCACAAACTAAAAGAAGCAAATGCAGTGGCTGCACAAGCCCACCTGGTTGGCTCTGATTTTAGGGTTACCACCCCCACCCCAGGATGAAGGGGAAGCCAGGGATCCCCTGCTGTCGGGCAGCAGGGAGGACACAGGTCTGGGAGGGAAAGCAAGTTCTTTTCAAGGCACCTCCCGGAGGGGCAGGCCGGCCATTCAGTGAAAGTAAGCGATCGTTTCTTGCTGGTAGCTCTGGCCTTCGGGTAACTTGGAGCAGACAAGCGAGCTTGATCTGCAGCACCTTGAGAGTGTTTTTTGCCCTTTTGATGCCCTTCGTATGGCGTTGGATTGGTAGGCTTTGTAGCCACCAACTCTATCAGGGACACTTGGCCAAAGATGTACAATTGCTGCTAGCCCACTGTGATATCTTGGGCAAGTGCTTTCCTAATACCACTGTCTCCTGACTTTCAGACCTCCTACCTACTTGCTCAAAGAGACAGGAAGAAAATGTTCTGGAAAATTCCTTCCTGGGAGTTATGGCTTCTGATCGGGTAAATAAAGGCTGACCTGAAACGTCCTCTTCATAGCCAGTCTCTGTACACCAACACCTTCAGTGGCATTGCACTCACAGACCAGAGAAAGGAAACCCGGGTCCCTAACAAGAAAATGCAGAGAAAAGTGTTCTAAAGTTTAGCATGATGAAAGGATGTTCAGGGACCCCAGCTCAGAAACAAAGCTATGAAATGCCACAGACAGGAAGTCAGAGCTCATCCTAACACAGAGAGAAGGCTCCCCTCCCCCCTACCTCCACCACAGATCCAGCTGAGCACACCTCTCTAAGCCTCTCCAATAGAACACTTGGCATTCCAAGACTTGGTAGCGTCTGCAGCTTCCCTAAGGCTCCAAGGAATTGATCAGATTCCCTCTTGAAGTTACTCACCCTCCTGTCGGGTTTTGTAGCTGTTTATTGATGTGACTTTTCTCCCTGGACAAATTAGAACATTGAGGGCAGGAGGAGGCATTGTGCTGTGCATGCAGCCAGTGCCTGCGGAGAATTGCTTGAGTGCTTGCTGAATGAAAATGCTTTGCTTGTAACCCTGCCCCCAGTTCTGGCCCAGAAATCCTAGGAGTCCAAAGACGATAGTAAAAGAATTATGTGGAATTATCTGGAGCCAGCTGAGAGCCGTGCTGCTTGCTACTTGTGCATTTCTGAAGTCTTCAGGACTGTTCTGTCCCATGGAAGCCAGAAAAACTGGCATGTCAGAGAATCAAACGTGCAATTCTGAGAATTTTTTCAGATAATAAACCCCACAAGCTGCATAAAGCCTTGTTCCTACTCTGAAAAAAATGCATATTTTAAGAGATGGAAACATTGCAAGAAAAATACACATAGGGTGATGCCTTTGAAAATGGAAGAGGCCAAATGGATGTGGTTATGACTAGTGGGAAGTGCAGATCTCTGTGCACCCCAAAGGCTGTGCACAAATTCGAACACATGGACACGCTCTTAAGGGACTTTAAAACCTGTTGTTTCTGTGACCATTACCCCTCAATCCAAAAAAGAATAGAGCAAGTCTTTTTTTTTAAGATTGATCAATTTATTTTGAAAGAGTTAGATATTCAGAGAGCGAGCTTCCATTCTCTGGTTCACTCCCCAGATGACCACCACAGATAGCACTGGACCAGACTGAACCCAGGAACTTCACCTGGATCTCCCACTTGGGTTGTGGGGGCCCAGACCCTTGGACCATCTTCTGCCGCCTTTCCAGGCCATTAGCAGAGAGCTGGATCGGAAGTGGAAAGGCTAGAACATGAACCAACATCCATAATGGTTGCAGGTGTTGCAGGCAGCGGCTTTATCTGCTATGAGGCAGTGCTGGCCCCCCAAGATGATCTTTGTGTTGAATACATTTACAAGATTTTCCTGATTTTTCTAACTTCTCCCTCTGCCTCTGACCTGTTCATGGCCATCATGGTCCCAGCACGAACATTTCAGTGATGAGATTGTCTCCCTGGAGTGTTGCCAGGTAGGTTCTGAAAGATTAAAAGATCTCACTGACTTTTCTTAGGGATTTTAGCATCACATGTAATAAATCACAAAGCTTCAGGACAGACTATGGAAAAGGGATCGGAACATGGTTATGCACATCATCAAGAATCACAGAGCTCCTGGGAGTTTTGTGTTGGCAGTGAAAACACGTAGTCACTGAGGTAGGCTTTTGGTGGCTGAGTCAGAACTTTGTCCCTTCTTCTCCGTTGCAGGTACATGGCCATCATCCATCCCCTGCAGCCCCGGCTGTCGGCCACAGCCACCAAAGTGGTCATCTGTGTCATCTGGGTCCTGGCCCTCCTGCTGGCCTTCCCCCAGGGCTACTACTCCACCACGGAGACCATGCCCAGCAGAGTCGTGTGCATGATTGAGTGGCCGGAGCACCCCGACAAGATTTACGAGAAAGTGTGAGTAAACACGGCCCCTGGCTCTGGAGCCACCGTGGTGCGTGGCATCTTCCTGGCCCTTTCTTGATCCTTCTTTTCTTTCCGTATTCTTTCAGCAACTAGGAATTACTGAGTGCCTGCAGCATTTCCTGATGTCGGGTTGATAGGTCCATGGTTGTAGGTTGGGGGGCTGCACTGTCCCGTCTGCTGTTCTGAGATTTGAAAGAGAATTGAAAAACGTGGAGACCTAGTGCTTGCAGGCTCTTTGGCTGCCCTGCTCTATCACTCAGGCTTCTTATGGGACACAATGTCCTGTGACTATCAGCATTTCTTTGGGGACTTTCTCCCAGATTGTAGAATGCCACCCCTGCGCAGCAAGGGAGGGGAGGGGCATTATCCCCACTGCCAGCAGCTCTCCACCATTGCTGTTGGGAGTCAGCAGGTGAACCCGGCCGAGACCTCCAGGGTTTGTGTTGAGTGCTGGGTGCAGGCCTTCCTTCTGGGACTAAGCTCCAGCTGTTCTGTGGCATCTGGCTCCACAACCCATCCTCTACTGACCACTAACGCTTCCCCTACTTTCTGCTCCCACATAAAGAACTTGACCTTGAGTCTTTTCCCCAGGGTGTTCCTGGGAGGACAGAACAAACCCAAGCATACAGGTGTGCATGGGGACGCAAGGCTGGTGCCCTGGGACCTGAGGGGCTACAGGTTCCTTTCAGGGCAGATTTGTGTGTCTCTCAGAAGCCTGGGTGATCACAAATAGGGAATCTCAAAGTATCTGGCTAATTTTCTCCATCGACTTCTTATCCTGCAGGCAACATTGAAGTGGCTTATTATTTGTTTTGTTCTGCTTGAGTGAGCAGCAATGTGACATTTATATTACCATTAGTTTTCTGCATTCCTTGTGCATGGATAGTCCTTTTGAAAGCCTTCTGTAATTCTCCAGCCGGGTTTATTGTGTGAGTTACAAAAGAACACTGGTGTTAAAATCAGAAGATCTGGGTTTTAATTATAAAATTGCCACTTGCCTTAGGATCCTGGGCAAGGATCTTAGCCTCTTTTTGATATTAAAATGGAAGGTGATAAAGCACTGTTTCCTATAAACAATTGTTGTACCGATCCAATGAGATGATGTATTCTCACCTGGTAAGCTATTAAGTGCCAGACAAAAGGTATGAACCAAACACATTGGATAGCAATATGATTATGAAGGCTGTAAATTTATTAAATGTCAACATGAGACAACTATACCTGTCATGCCGCCAAGATCTGATGGTCTGGGAGCCTGTTGCACACAGAATTACACTGCTGCAGCTGCTTCACGGAGCGTGGAAATGCACCTGGCCAGAAAGCCCTGCACAAAGCTTCGACTCCGCCTTACACACACACACACACACACACACACACACACCACACACACACACACACACAGTGGAATTGCATTGATCAAGCAGTGGGGAGATTACTGCTCAGCCCAGAAGGAGACACCGAAAATTACTCTTTCAAATGAAACTACAAGCCCAAGCGAGGTTTCAGAGGGAGAAATAACACACAGTTTTACAAGCTGTCTAGGGTCCATGAACATAAAAAAAAAAAAACCTTCTGACCCAAAGCTTGCTATGTAAATTACCTTAGAAACCTTAGAAACCTCCAGATACTCCATGGGCTGTGGCTCAGTTCTTAGTTCTCGGGATCTTTCCAAGGTCTGATCCACCCTCTACAGCATTAGTTGAAAGCCGGAGTCAGGAACCAAACCCAGGTACTCCACCACCGTGGCACGTGGGCATCTTTACCTAAATGCCCCCCCACCTCGCCCTGGACTTTGTTCCAAGTATGAGAAGTCTTCAACAGCTTCATGGCAAATGTGTGTGATGAGAAAATTATGTATGAATTTCCAAATATTTTTGTAACCAAAGTGCACTTAGCTTTTCGTTCCATTTTTCCTCAGACTTTCAAAGGACCCTCATATTCACGGTTCTTAGAAGTTTATTTTCTCACAGATTTCTGGGGTTTTGTGCTAGAAACAGGTCAAACATTTTTGTGTTTTATGCTTAATAATGATTAGAAAATCATCTGGAGACTCAATGCAATGTGTTGGATTCTTATTTTCTTGCTTTGAGAACTTGTAGTTCCTGATACTGGATGCAAAGTTAGGTTTGCCATCATTTATTTCATTATTTTAGCCTAAAAATGAATCTGACTCACAAACATTTGATTTTATCTATTCATGATGGATGATATGTTTATTGATACTACTGTACCAAGGTATTCAGAGAGAAGTTTGGGTGGGCATTTGGCACAGTCATCCAGTTATTGCTTGGAGTGCCTGCATCCCTTATCAGGTGCCTGAATTCAAGTCCTACATCCTCTGCTTCTGATCCTAGCTTCCTGCCAATGTGCACCCTGGCAGGCAGCAGGTGATGGCTCAAGTCTTGAGTCCCTCTCACCCATGTGGGAGAACCAGATTGAGTTCTGGGCTCTTGGTTTTTGGCCTGGCCTAGCCTAGTCCTGATTGACTTGTATATAGAAGACTGATAGATTTCTCTCTCTCTCTCTCTCTCTCTCTCTCTCTCTCTCTCCCCCCCTCCCTCCCTCTCTCGCTCTCCCTCCCACCCTCCTTTCTCTCTACCCCCATCTCTCTCTCTCTCTCCCTTTCAAATAAAATTAAAATAAATACATAAAAATTTTGTAAAAATGGTCTGAATAATGAATAATCAGGGTTGAAGGTTCACCATGCAGCCAAAATCAAAGATTTCTGCAAAAGTCTTCTATGTAATTAACTAGTGCGAAATATCCATCAGATAAATTTGGCCTAACTGTTGGCCCACCACTTTGTTTGCTGGCAGTCTTATGCCAGTGAACCCAGATCTATAGCTGATGTTAACCTTCACCAAGCCCTTATCACATGCAGGCACTGGACTGAGCACTCCCCATGGGTTATTTTACTTCTCTCAAAACTTCCATGTGGAATATACTGTTAAGCTTAGAGTCTTAAATAATGTGACCATTATGATTCAACTTCAGAGTGATGGAGCTGGGAGTTGATCTCTCATATAACTCTAAAGCCTATGCTCTTATCCTATTATTATATTGACTCAAGAAAAAGTTTTTATCTGGCTTCAAATATAGTATACTATGGAAATAGCAATCATTAGTCTACAAGAAGAGAATACAATTAAGTACTTAGTTTAGATATGGTGAAGTTCCTTAAATGTTTATATAATAGATTATGAAGGATGGGATAAAAAGAAAATAGCTTGGATAAAGCTTTGCAATGCACTTGACTTTTGTGAGATGCAAATTAAAACCATAATGAGAACTTATGACACCCCCAACAGACTAGCAAGTATTAAGAAATTTGATAAAACTGTAAAACTTTTGATGAATGTATGGCGCTATGACAACCTTTTTTCTATTGCTAGAGGTATAAATTATAAAATCACATTGAAAAATACTTTTCTAGTATCTGGGGGAAAAAGCAGCTATGCAGACTTTATAACTCAAAAATTTCATTCAGAGGTAATTTCCCTAGGAAAAAAATTAATGCACAAGCACTCAAATACATCTAATGTATGCTCATATCAGCACTGTTCTTAATTCACCAAATTGGAGATATTTCTAAAGTACATCATCAGAATGGATAAAAATTGTGGTATAAGTGTGTACAATGGATTATTACATTACTAATTAGGTGAACAAAGGGCAGCTTCATGCAACAGGGATGGCTGCTACAAGCATAGTTCTAGGACAAACAATAAAATCACACTTTTGTATATATATATAAGTAGGTAATAAAACTATAAATGCTAGCCAAGACACAACCACAATGGAAGTGAAGGTCGTGGGCATCTTGCTGCAGAGGGGAAGCCATGAGATCAAGAAAGTACACTTTAAAGTGATCATATTAAGTGTTAGAGTGAACATATAGATAGGATTAAGTGTTAAAGTGATCATGTAAATAGGAGCAAGTGTCTGGTAATAATAATAGATAGAATTAAAAAGGAGAGAATGTTCCAACGTGGGAAGCAGTCCACACAGCACTCATAGAATGACAATAGCTTTAAGTAACAATCGGACCTCAGAATCAGCCCTTAAGCCTTCCTGGTCTGGCTGAAAAGCCTGTGAGAGCATTTCAGGCATGGAAAGCCAAGACACTGTGGCAAAAAAATGTTCTACATGAAGGATCTCTGTGAGTGAGACCCCCAGTGGAAAGAAGTGACCATCGAAGAAGGAGGAAGAGAGAACTTCCACTTTCATTGTGGCCTTGTCTAAATACTGACAGAGTTTGTGGATTCAAAAGGTTTCTATAGCCTAGGCAGCTCATGTCAAGAGCCTCATAGGGCCACTGACATCATACATAAGAGTGTTAATTGTGAAATTAACAACAGGAGTCACTGTGCACTAACTCCCCATGCAGAACCTCTGTCTTCAATGAGTTGTAGTATGAGAGTTAACTATAAAACTAGTTCTTAAATAGTTTTTGTGTGTGTGTGTGTGTGTGTGTAAATTGTTGAAATCTTTACTTAGTATAGAGCTGGTCTTCAGTGTACAAAGTTAATTTAAAATGGATCTTAATGGAAATGGGACTTGGAAGGGAGAGGGAGGAGAAGGAAGGGTGGGTATTGTGAGAAAAATAACTTATACCTAAAGTTGCAAATTTGTAGTCCTTAAAAAATTAATTAATTAGCTTTTTTTAAAAAAAAAAGGGACACTACGGTCACTTCTCAGAGAGTGGCATTGTATACTTGCTCAGCCAGTTGTAACAATAAGCATTTGCTTAAGAATTACTCATAAGACCAGACAATTAGATTGTTGTGCTTTTTCTGGAATGCAGGTTTAATTTTTTTAGCTTGAAATGAAATGCTATGCAAAGGGCTTGTTTTCACAAGATCTCAGGAAACTGCTTTCATTATGATAACCTCAGACATTCTCCCAGAAATATTACTTGTGGCTCCTCCTGGTATGACGTGGCACAGAAGTCCTTACTCTGAATAAGGGACCTGGGCATGGTCCCCTCCCAA